AACCAAAAAAAAAAATGTAATAAGAACAATAAAACAATAATCAAATCAAAAACGAAAGAAAATTGCCTGCGAGAAAGCTCGAGAACCCGAACCCTCTTTGCCTGAGAATCATCAGAGCAGCCCAAAACAGCTAATATTCCACACATGGTAATAATTTATACGTACAAATGTTTTCTGCAAATTGGATATTATAAAAAATTAATTCCTCAAATTTAATGGGAGAAACTGAGTTAGAGAGCACAGCCAAAAAAACGTGGGGCAATTTCAGCGTTTTTAGCACTAAACGAAGGGAGAGTGCTACACGTTGACGCTTTTAGTAGTATCTTTGAACGAGTTATCGTTTTTGTTTTTGGGTTGCACCGCTTGGGGAGCGAATTTATAGGAGGTGACGGTGGGTGTGTGGGCCCCACAAAAATATTAAAATATACATTAAATTTCTTTTTATTTTATTTTTATTTGTGGAGTGGATAATGTTATCATTTTCAGAGTGTACCAGGCTACCAGCGACGACTTGCCACACAATTGGTGGACACAGTCAATATCTAACGTTGTTTGGGTTAACGTGAGCGATGTATTTTTTATTTTTTTTTTATTATTATTTTTAGTTTTAATTGAATAAATGTCACGAATAATTGAAGATTTTAAGCATCCAATAATTTGTGAGAAAGAATATGCTCCCAGTTCTTGATGTTTCTTTGTTTGTTCTTATTGGAGTGGCTTTTTCTTTGGGATTGTAATTTTTTAATGGGTATAATTAGATTAAGTAACCATCTTTACTTTGTTTGCAATTTGTAATTGAATTTTTTACAAATCTAAGTATGCAATTTATAAATTGTTGGTCGGATGTTTACGTGTCTGTCTCGTTATCCACCTTGAGAGAGAAGAGGACATGTTGCAAATGAAAAAATAAAATAAAAAATAAAATTAGAGTTGTGAACGATTATTCTTATTTCATACATCTAGAACATTGAAATTTTTCGACCGGAAATTTCATCTAGGTATGGCGTATATGTTAGCATTTACTCTTTATTAAGGTGAACAGGTGAGTTGATAATTTAGAACTAGTGTGTAACCCGTGCGATGCACGGGAACAATATTAAATTAATAATATTATAAATAGACCTCGAGTTTGAGTCACTCAATGACATAAGTGAAAATTTACTATTGATCATATTTAAAAAGAGAAAGAAAAAAAAAATAATTATAAATTAAAGAGGAGGATAAACAATACTTAATAATTATAAATTAAAGATTCGGGTCAAACAATGTAAAAATATTTTGTATAAGAGAATATGAAATTTACATTATTTTGTATAAAAGAATATAAAATTTGTATGTTTAATATTAAAAACACCTAAAATATTATATTAGTATATTTAAAAGTATTCAAAATTTTCTATATTATTTTTGAAAGATGTGAAGTCACCTGCAACTTTTCTAAACAATTTTAGAAGGAAAACATTTTGTAAAGAAAACATGTCTACAAATATTTAAATTTAACATCAATTATGTATATATATATATATATATATATATATATATATACGAATATGTAAAAAAATGTCTAAACAATTTGTTTAAAATATCTAAAATATTATAAGCATAATTTAAAAAAGACATTATGTCAGATGATACCAAATTTATGGCGTTACTTCCATCTAAAAAATTGATTACACGCCATTATTATTATACTTTTTACATTGTTATCGAGGATGTATTGTTAGCTTATAATATTTGTAAAATATTAATAATTAGACTGATAAAAATTAGCTTTATAAAATAGATAATGATTTCTAGCAGTAATTATGAATTGGTTTTTATTTTATTTTATTTTTCTAAATCTTTAAAGATAAGAGATGAGATTTTTTAAACTCGTGAGACGTATGCAATGAGATTTTGTAACAGATAAGAGATAAATTCTAGATTTATGCTATGAGATTTTATAACGGCGATTTTCAATACCAAAAAATAGGAAAAAGGAAACAATTTTAAACATACCAAAAAATGGGAAAAAGGAAACAATTTTAAACTCGTGAGACGTATGCAATGAGATTTTGTAACAGATAAGAGATAAACTCTAGATTTATGCTATGAGATAGATTTTGTAACAGATAAGAGATAAACTCTAGATTTATGTTATGAGATTTTATAACGCGATTTTCAATACCAAAAAATAGGAATAAAGAAAACAGATTCTAACACAATTAATTGACCGATTTTATTGTCTTATCAATATTGTCCAACAATTACTATATATAGGATACATTTAATGTATTTGGCAAGAAAATATTTCTAAAATTATAAAAAGATTATTCTTTTTATATAATGATAGATTCTTCATTTTTCGCAATAATACAAATCGGGTTTAAGCCCCATATTTTTATGAGGGGAAGTATTTTAATTTTATTCATTATTTTTTTATTTTTGACATGTTATTATTCCCCTCAATTCATTTCAAATAACTAGCCACGTAAGCCTCTGGCAGTTAATTGATTCGGTGCTTCGAATTGCAAAAATTGAAAACTCATGTCTTTTATTGTCAAAATTAAAAAGTTGAGATTAAATTGAAAAAAAAAAAGAATTTAATATGCTATTTAACGTTTTTCAATTGTGGCCTTTAAAGCATCTTTAGTGCACTGTTTTTAAGTGCAAAAAATAAGTGCAAAAAATAAGGGTCATGTCATTATTGAAGACAATGTCTTCATATTTATCTCTTCAATTGGCACTATTATGATCCCATTATTTTTGACGTGGCTTAACAGTGATCAAGCCTACTGTTTGAAGTGAGAAAGTGCATTTGACAATGTGACTCAGAAAAAAATCAGTTTAACAGAATCCCTAGGAAAGAAAGTGTGTGCATTGCACGAAGAATTTGACTGTTCCTATTCTTACTGTCAACGCTCATATTGAGGGAATCAGTTATCCAATTAAGTACAAACACGTGGAATGATATTTAACATTCACATTCAGTACACTGGAGATGCTCATATAATTTAGACGAACTAAATGAGAAATTATAAATTCTATAGATATTCACATTCAGTACACTGGACATTTAACATTCACATTCAGTTCATTTGGTGCTTGTTTATCCTTGGTTCCCTCTCCCAATGCAATTTTATGAATATACAGTCAAATTAGCCAGAACTTAAATTTTATTTATAAATTTATATAAAACAATGATTCTTAGGTTTCCCTCAATTAATCACTTGTTGTAATTCAATGTATATTTTAAAGTTTTGTTATTAAGGTATAACATATAAAGAAATGATCTTCTTTTATTTTTGTTATCATTACAATTCTCGCTTTAAATCAAATTTACAACATGAATATTTTTCTTTTTCATGTAATTAGAAATTTATTTAATTACATAGAGACGACTCGAAAGAGCTGCATAGACTAGACATAGTGTCTTAGTAAAATATAATACAAATACAAATCTTATATATATATAGGATGTGGTTCAAATGAGAAACAATTCTTAATATGAGAATCGTGAGAACCGCTATTTTTAATTGTGCGTAGTGCTATGATTGATAGTGTTTAGTGCTATTTTTAACCATGATGAATTTTTATTAAAAATAGCAACACAATTTCTGTTAGCATTTGTAAAATTGATAGCATCATCTAATATGAAAAATAACATCATACACAATTAAAAATAGCATCAAATACGGTTCTCACGGTTCTTACACCAGGACTAGTTTTTATTTGAACAAACTCCTATATATATATATATATATATATATATAGAATTTGGTTCAAATGAGAACTAAGTCCTAGCGTGAGAACCGTGAGAACCGCTATTTTTAATTGTATGTAGTGCTATGATTGATTGTATTTTAGTGCTATTTTTAATCAGGATGTATTTTATTAAAAATAGCAACACAATTTATGTTAGCATTTGTAAAAATGATAGCATCATGTGAGATTAAAAATAGCATCATACACAATCAAAAATAGCATCAAATATGGTTCTCACGGTTCTCACACCAGGACTAGTTTTTATTTGAAATATATATATATATATAAAATATATATATATATTTTTTTTGAAATATATATATAATTACCATTTACCAAAAATAGTGGCAAAAAAATAGGTCAGAATTTAATGCAACCTATAAATAGTAAGTTTTATTATTTTTCTTATTTGTTAATTTAAAAAATCATACAACATTAAATGCTACCTTAAATTTCGGGCTTTAGTTCATTTTATTATTTAAGAAATCCGGCCAAGATCTATTAAGTGTGCATGTTTTTATTTTTATTTTATTTTTCTTATAAACAACAAACAACATTAAAATTTCGGTCTCTATATTTATAAAATCTCAATTCAAAATATAACAAAAGTTTTAACGTTCCAGTTTTTATATTTGTGCCTTTCAAAAAAAAAAAGTTATTGAACGCTAAAAATATTATTTAAATTGCATAATCAATCAATTAATCTTAATTTTTTGATAATTGCTATGTTTGTTATTTATTAATATCCATAAAGTAAAAATAATTAATTCATCTTTAGATATACAATTTATAATCTTAACATACTATCATTTAGTGTAGACATTTATTATATGAATCATAAAATATTTTTATTTCATAAATTAAATATATTTAAAGAAAATAAGAAAATTCCTTTGGATCAATCGTGTGATTGAATTAGGGCACTGTCCAGGTTGATTGAATTACTTTTAGGTGTTAAAATAGTCAAAAAACTTGACACAACTTGGTTAGTCCCAAGTGACTAAGTTATGTATCAGGTTGATCATTCCAAATCGATTATTGAACCTAAATATAAATTTTAATATTGAAAATAATTTATTACGTGAATGTGATGTAGTTAAAACTTCAAATAATCATATTAACAATACTTTTATGACAACATGTTAAATGATTAATGAATATTTATATATCATTTGGTAAATATTTATGTCAATAAAATAATATTTTATTATAATTTTTATTAATATACAGTAAATATAAGATTTTCAGAATCGGACCGTCATCGAAACAATCAAGTTATTTTATTAAATCATTTGTGGTTTGTTCGATTTTAATTTATAAACATTTTAATGTATATATAGTACTTTTTGTAATAAATTTAAATAAAATGTATTACTAAAATATATAAAAAATTTATAAATCTCTATTTTATTTAAATATGTAATTAATTTAAAATAATTTTAAATGTAACAAATTTTGTTTAGGAAATCGTATCGTTCCTACTAATCCAACCGACTGGTGTTGACAGATTCGACAATAAATATTTTATCGTTCCTACTAATCCAACCCAATTTAATTTAAAAACAATGAGTAAATCATGATTAATGTTATTTATAT